ACTCATAGAGGAAGCAGAGGTGATGGTGGAGACATAATCTCGCCAGCAAGTGCGTTTAGCGTCACAGATGACACAGCGAGCGATCACACGCTTCTGCTTAAAATCAAGAAGTCTCTCTGTGGTTCTATTGTACCGGTACCTGCCCCATGCAGCGCGTTTCAAACGTACTGCACGAGCACAAGCAGGAGACCACCAAGGCACGCATTTCTGAGAATGCCTGCCCGAAGTTTGGGGTATAGAATGAGAAGCTGCGGTTAAAACGGAGGACGAGAAGAGGTGTAAAAGCTCATCGATGGAGGACGAAGAAGGAACCTCTCTAAAAACAGTTAGGTGTGAGTAAAGGTTCCAATTTGCCTGATCAAATTGCCAGCGTGGGATGCGAAGAGGTGGTGAATATGAAGGGGAAGTAAGAATGATTGGGAAATGATCGCTGTCATGTAAGTCCGGAAGAACAGACCAAGTGAAGTCTAATGCGGCGGAGGAAGAGCAGACTGAGAGATCGATGCAAGAGAGTGTGTGAGTCGAGGATCAAAATGGGTGTGAGTACCTGTATTTAAAACATGGAGGGGGTGGGTGGCAAGAAAAGCCTCTAACTGAATGCCACGAGAATCACAGTGAGACCCCCCCAAAGGAAATGGTGGGCATTAAAATCACCAAGTAACAGAATCGGTGGTGGTAATGGCGAAACAAGAAAGGCAATATCCGGAATAGATAATGCCCGAGAAGGAGAGAGATATAAAGAACAGAGCGTATACCACCTATGCAAGTGGATATGGGCTGCTGTGTAATGCAGCGAAGTACGAACAAATAGCTGATGGTACGGAATATCAGTGCGAAGAAGGGCACTTTCATTAAAAGTCCCATCAGGAAAAGGATCTGAAGAATACAATAAATTATAGCCTGAGATGGGAGAGATAACAGCAGAGTGTAATTTTGGTTCCTGTAAGCAAACACCAACAGGGGAAAACTGGGAGAGTAACATCTGAAGCTCACCCCGATTACCCAAGGCCGCGTATATTCCACTGTAAATAGGCCATGACTGGCAATGATAAAGATACCTGAAATCTGCAGGTAAGGGTTCCTACGGACTAGAGGGGTTAGAAAAGTCCACATGCGGAGGCAGTGGAAAACGTTCAAGCAGCGAAGGAACGGTGCGCTGTGAAGAAAGGAGTTTCGCAGATGGAGTAGAGGAGAGAGGAGCGGAGGGTGGATCAGTGTCCATTGATGGTTTGGTCTCTGCAATATATTCAGAGATTGCTTCAAGTGTTTCAGAATTCAAGGACCCCAATGGAAATAGTCACTCTGACTTTTTTGGGTTATCCTAGGTTCTCTACACATATGCTGCTATGTATGATAATTCTATGTAACTGTATTTGTGTATACCTGAATAAATTTACTTACTTATGGGAGACAATATTGGAAATGGTAGGGGGAGGATGAGTAAAGATTGGAACTGTAATGGACTGTACCAAGGTAGGGGGGGGGGGGGCAAAAGGGTGGAGGGAACTGGAGAAGCATGGAAGGGGACAGAAGAGGCAGAAACCTGGGAGGTGGCAGAAGAGGAAGAAACTTGGGAGGGAACAGGGGAGGAAGGTACAGTACGAGGAGGAGAGTGAACCTCTACACTTGTAACAGAGCCAGCGAGAGGGGGAGAACCAGGTACAGAGACAGGGAAGGGAAAATGAGGAGGTGGAAGATGGGTAGGAGGTGTTAACGGACCTTTTTTTGACTTTTGAGAAGTAGAGGGATGATTGGGAGGAGGTGTCATACGAGATCTTGTCGCTACTGAGGCTTGTGAGAGAGAACACGAAGAAGCAAGATCAGACTGAGACGGTGAAGTAGGGACGTCTGAGCCGAGGACAGCAAAAGAATTAGCTACAGGAGTGACTATGGGAGAGGTAACCACAGAGGTGGGTGCAGAAGATGGGATACCAGAAGTGGGGGGACGTTTTGAAACACGGGAATAAGAAACACGAGTTAAGTCTCCCTTGGAGGCGGAGATGAGAAACTGCCATGGCATAAGGGAGACCTTCTGCCTCTTCGAGGCAACGGATTTCCCGCTCGTTTAACCCTTTGACTGTTTTCGATGTATAAATACGTCTTACGAGCCAATGTTTCTGACGTATATATACTCAATAATTTTAGTGGCTTCAAATCAAGTGGGAGAAAGCTGGTAGGCCCACATGTGAGAGAATGGGTCTGTGTGGTCAGTGTGCACCACATAAAAAAAATCCTGCAGCACACATTGCGTAATGAGAAAAAAAAACTGATCGTTTTTTTTGAATAAAACGCCGACTTTGAGGTGTATTTTCGTATAGTATTTATCGTTGTATTCGCGTTTTCATGGTCTTAGGTGATAAAATGGAAAACATATTACAGAAATAGAGATGATTTTCCTTACTTTTATGATGAAAACGACCTTGAAACTGAGCTCAAAGTAGCGGAAATGTTCGATTTTTACCAATGTTCAAGAGTAAATAAATCACACCACACGTCCAATACACGTCAACTGGGGAGTCTAATATTCTTTCACTAGTGCATGATATTATTTATACCATTTTTACAATAATGCAGTCGTCTGCATAACAGTAATTTTGTATTTTTTTGTATGAATAAAAATCAAAATAGAAAGCAATAATAATATAAGAGGGGCCTAGAGATGTGACTAATGAACAGAGCACATGTTATTTTAGTGCCACGAATGTCTAACTTGTTTATTCTGGACCCTATTTTGAAATTGGCATCTTTTTTATTTTGCGTGAAATTGGCCAAATTGCCAATTTCTGACCACCATATTGGGTAGTCCAAATTAGTAAATGGGAGGTTTCTTTTACTCAGCTGATAGATAAAATGGAGTTCTAAAGAAATAGCTATGAGTTTGGTTGACTGGAACACTGGAATTGGCTGAAAATTGGGCTCAAAGTCGGCGAAATCGCCGATACGCATATGTCGCCGAGACCGCTAACTTTGCGGGAGCATAATTCCACGAGTTTTCGACCAAATTTCGAACTTTTGGTGTCATTACCATCGGGAAAAGATTCTCTATCATTTCATAAGAAAAAATAATTTTGCTTTTTTTCAAAAATTGAGCGACATAGAATGACAGTTTCAGAGAGGGGCCTGAAACAGTCAAAGGGTTAAGTAGACTTGACAACGGCGAGAGTACGAAGGGTGAGCCTCATGACAATTAAGGCAAGAGGGAGGTCGATTGCAAGACGTATTAGAATGGTCATCGGCACCACAGACTGGGCATTCGGCGATAGATCTGCAATATTTCGCTGGATGGCCAAATCGCCAGCAATTTCTACACTGTTGCGGTGTAGGGATCACCTTTCGAACTTGTAACCTATGTCCTGCTACATAAACTGAGGATGGGAGTTCACGGCTGTCAAAAGTTAAACGAGCCACATTGCTAGGGTATCGTCTCCGCCCGCGGGCAGGAAGAACGTAAGTGTCTACCTTGAGGATTGGGAGATCTTGGAGTTCCAGCTGTTCAAGAATGTCGTGCCACATGTCTGGAAATTTTGTTAACTTGGTATGGGGCAGAATGACTGACCACTACAAGAATTGGGGAAATGATGCTTTTAAATTTTAAAGGGAACATATCGATATGGGAAAGCAGAAAGTACGAGCCTGGGTAGCTTCTGTACAGTGACAATGTGCGCCCCGCTTTAAAAAGCTGAAAAGAAATATCTTTACCAACAGGGCATGGGAGTGCCTTGCCAATCGTGGAGAAAAATAGGCGAGAGGGGGTTGGGGTTTTAAAATGAAAAATTTATCCCCTTTGCAGTCAAACTGACGTGGAAAGGTAGTGAAAGGGCGTGTCGATCTTTTTGAGAAGAATGTGAAGGTGTAGAATATCATCGAGGGAATTGTGTGTCGTTTAGGCGTGGGGGCCAGGTTGGTCGATGTGGTACGGGGGTGATTCGAAAAATTTCCGCACCGGAGGGAGAGGCTGGAAGACGTAAGGAGGCGAAAGGCAGATAAAACGAAGGAGCAGCGAGGCCCCAGTACCTGAAGCGGGGGGAGGAAAAAGCACGGCAGAGGGACAGAGGGATGAGGAGTGTCCGAAATGGCCCCAAAAACGAGGCGGGGGCAGAACGGGGGGGGGTAAAACAAGAAGGGCCCGGGGGGGGACGGTTCATGGATAGGGCTGCCATGGTTAGGTTACTTCTTTCTTCTTGTTTTTAAGAAAAAAAAAAAAAAAAAAAAAAAGGGGGGACCGGGGAGGGATAGTTCCTAGGAGGAATGAAAGGGCCAGAAATCTCCCTCCGTGCCCAAGAGGACCTCAGCACCGCAAGTAGCAAGATGCAGCATGGAACCCGTGCCATACCCTACCCATCATGCCAGTAAACCGGCAATCCGGGATAGCAACCTCACATCTGCCGAGCTACCTCGGTGGACAAAAGAGAGGGCGGCCGGAAATCCGCCACAAAGCATACCTCCTTCGGCCACCACCCCCGGAATCCGAAAGGTGGCTTCCAGAGATACACCCGTCGCCCGAGAGACACCCAAAGCCACCCTCCGGGATACCGGAGAGGGATCAGGACATCCTCAGGCAATCCAGATTCCACGGCAAACTACGCCACCGCCAAGAACCTCAACGGAATGGGATGGACCCCGGTGTCCTTTCCCCTACCTAGGAACTAGCGTGCCTGTGGAGAAAAAAAAAAAAAAAAAAAAAAAAAAAAAACCAAAGGCCAAAAAGGAAGGGCAAAAGGGAGGGGTGGGGAGGAGGAGGAGGAAAGGAAAAAGGGGAGGATGGGATAGGGAACGGGGGATTGGGGGGTAATTAGGTTCGGTCTGAGGAAGTAGACAGACAGGTCTAATTCCTCAGACCAAGAGCCTCTTCACCATGCCAAGGAGCCCCCCCCCCCCTTGAAGAGGACTTTTAGTATAAGCATAGGTGGTAGCCTCAGACCAAAAGGGCTCCTACCCTATGATGCTCATTAGGCCCCTAGTCAAATAAGCTTTTAGTAAAAGGTAATAAAACAAAAGTAAAAAATATTTATCTTTACCAAATGTTACAATGTATAACAACTCATTAAAATTGAATACAATGAATATAAAGGTGTGTTAGAGGTGAGTAATGTAATGAGCACCCATACATATCACTTCCAGAAACAGCCACACTATTGTGTTTGAACAATTTCCTTCATCAACAGTATCATTGCACAGAACACTCCAAACATCTCAACACACCATTAAACTACTGCTGGTAGCTTAGCACAAATAAAACAAATTTAATTATGGTGGTATAGTATAGCAAGGAAGAACCTTGCTCGTACAGACCAGGCCACGGGTGTTGACCCCCGAAACCCACTCCAGGTATACATATCACCCACTAGGGGTGTCTATACCACTATATCAGCTTATAGCATAACTGAATACAAATTTAATTACACTTTATTGATGAAAACTTTAAATGCTGTACTATATCAGTTATGCATGTGCAGGCTCCAGGAGCTTTAATGAAATTAAGTTACAAGAGTGTGCAAGCTGCTGATGTTTTCTTCACAGTGCCAACAGTGTCACCACGTTCTGCAGCCGCCGCAATTTCAACGACCTCATCAAAATTGGGAAAGCCCCTGCGTTCCAACTTTGAGAAGACCATCTTACCATCGATGTTGACTTCAAAAGAACCTATGGAAATAAAAATGCATTTAATTTAATAAAAAAAAAAAAAAGCAGACAAAACAAATTAAAGAATTTATAATGATAGCTAATATTGAACTTAAAATTCCAGATATTAAATATTTTCTAAGATGTAAAATCCACATTCATGGGGAACTGCTAAACTCACATGGGTCATACAATGCCTGGGCATGGGATGTAATTAGATTTGACTCAAGGAAGGAAGGAAGGAAGGAAGCTCCAATTCCTTAGCTCAAAAGCCCTTAGGGTTCCATGTAAAATCATTTATTAAAATGAGGTATCAATGTTTTGGTGAAAATTCAATTAGCATCTTGAAAGAACATCACTACAGTGAAATGACTCTCTCAATATACAGTATATGCACTCTGATCACATTATTTGGTGCACCCTTACACTTACTCCTTAATGGGAACATCTAATCAGACTCACTTAGCAGCAGCACCACCATGCTTAAACGCATACAGACATGATCAAGAGGTTCAGCTGTTGTTCAGGTCAAACACCAGAATGGATAAGAAATGTGACCATGGAATGATTGTTGATGCTAGACAGACTGGTTTATCTCAAACTGCTGATCTGGAATTTTCACATACAAGCCTAGAGTTTACAGAGAATGGTTTGAAAAATACAAAACATTCAGAATGACAGTTCTGTGGGAAAAATACCTCGTTAATGAGACTGGTTCAAGCTGATAGTAAGGCAAGACAAACTCAAATAGCCATGTGTTACAACAGTGGTAGGCAGAAGAGCATCTCTGAATGCACAACATGTCAAACTTTGAAGTGGGTGGGCTAAAGCTGCAGAAGACCACACCTGGTTCCACTCCTGTCAGCTAAGAACAGGAAACCTGAGGCTACGATGGGCAGACTCGCCAAAGTTGGACAGTTAAAAACTGGGGGAAAAAAAAAAAAAAACATTGCCTGGTCTAACAAATCATGACTTCTGCCATTAATTTGGCATAAGCAACATGACTCCATCCTGCATTGTGTCAACAGTTCAGGCTGATGGTGGTGGTATAATGGTGTGGGGAAAGTTTTCCTGGCATACATTAGGCCCCATAATACCAAGTGAGCATTGTTTATATGCCATAACCTATCTGAGTACTGTTGCTGACCATGGACATCTCTTTATGGCTAATATGCATTGTCACAAATCACATGTTATCTCAACTGGTTCCACGAACATGACGGAGCTCAGTTTACTCTAGTGGCGTTCAGTCATCAGATCTCAATTCAGTACATCACTTTTGGGATGTGGTGGAACAGGAGATTCCTAGCATAAATGTGCAGCTAACAAATCTGCAGCAACTGTGATGCTATCATGTCAACATGGGCTAGAATCCATGTCACGAAGAATTTGGATTGTTCTGGGGCAAGTCTGGAGGAGGATTCTACCCAGTACTAAAAGAGTAAGTGACAACTGAGTGTATAATTTTGTTTACTACCCTGTGCTCCATTTATTAGAATATCCATTTTCCTACTCTTCTTGTGTGCTTTTTTTTTCTTTTCTTTTCTTTTTTTAAAACACTGGCCATCTCCCACTGAGCCAGGGTGACCTAAAAAAAATTTTCACCATCATTCACTCCATCTTGCCAGAAGTATGCTGATACTATAGCTCAGATGCCCCACTAAAGTGCAAATATCCCCACCCCCTCCTTCGGAATGCAGGCACTGCACTTCGCACCTCCAGGACTCAAGTCCAACTAACTGATTTTCTTGAATCCCTTCACAAAAAGTTAACCTTACTCACACTAACAGTTAGTAGTCCTAAAACCTATTTGCCTATATTCACTCCTACCTACCACACTCACATACACCTGCTGGATGTCCATCCAAGCCCACTTGCACACAAAACTTCCTTTACTCCTCTTCACTCTTTCCTAGGGCAACTCTTACCCTGCTTTCCCTCCACTCTAGAGTTATACTCTTAGTCATCCTATTATGCTCCATCCTCTCTAAATATCCGAACCACCTCAACAGCGCTCTGGATAATACTGTTAGTAACTTTGCACCTCCTAGTCTCAAAGCTACAAATTCTCTTCATAATATTTACACCACACATTGCCCTCAGACATCTCCACTGCCTCCAGCCTCCTCCTTGCTGCAACATTCACAACCCATGCTTCACACCCATGTAAGCACGTTGGAACCACGATATTCTCGGACATTTCCTTCTTTGCATCTATGGATATCACTGTTTCCACAGATGCCTCAATGCACCACCCACCTTTTCAATTCAATGGTTCACCTTGTCTTTCATATACCCACCTGGCAACAAGTCCACACCCAAATATCTGAACACACATTGACCTTATTTTATGAGCTATCACTATGATCGCATTTGCCAACTGCCTTAGTCAACTCCATGTAGACCACATGTGTTTTGGGTTTCTTCCAAAGTTTAAGTAATTCTGAATTAGCAGTAGTGACAGCATCTTGCTAAATCCTGAGGGACTTGAGTTGTGTAGGATGTATTATTTTAAAATCTATAAATTGGTGTCAGATCAACCTTTCAAAGATTTCTAAGGTGTGTGATGTTAACCACCATAGTACTTTTTGCCAGAACTCTACTGCCTCCTTAGTGCAGAGGAGCTGTCTGTATATTTTAAGGCCTTTATCATTTCACCTAGATCTAAGCTCTTACTCCAAAGAACAATGAGGGCTCTTGCAAGTAGTGTTCTGCACTTTTTTGTATAAGCCTTATAGAATGTTTCATGAATTAAGCCCAGTTACTGCATTTGGACATACGAATCTGGCATTTTCATTTTTAATGATTTGTAGGATGAGCAGATGTAATAAACTTTTTGGATCCTCAAGTGTCCTACCTTTGCTGGGGTGGGGGAGGACTAAACTGTGGGGGTCATATAGCTCCTGGGGGAATGGAAGGCAATAATGTTCAAATCAAGAAAAGAACAGGTCCAATTTGTTGAATCAAGAGCCCTTTACTTGTATCATGGTACCTCCCTTGAGGGATCTAAGTTGAACCACCTAAAATGCAACCCCTTTGGTAAATCTGATCAACCCTGTATTAGAGAAAGTAGCAATATTTTTCTAATGAAAAACCATGAAAAGCCTGTGATTTTTACAGGAGGGCCTCACTTATACAGCAGGTTAAGTTACAGGCTACAGCTGTAAAGCAAAAATAGCTGTAAAGTAAATCATAGCCCCTTTTCACTTTCAAATGCATACAAGTCTTGATAACATGTTTACATTACCATATTAAGCAAGAAATATAGCTAGGCCTACAAATACATATACTACAGTGCACATATTACATACTACTTACCACATATTACTTTCCTAATATTTTTGTCCTTAGCTTATAGTGGATGGTGGCTATATTGTAGGAAGTCTGAATAAATGAAGAATGGGTATAACTGAAAACTGCTGTAATAGCAAAACTTAAAGCAGGGCCTGCCTGTACTATGTAGTCTTGTTACAAAACAATGTACACACAAGATTAATATAATCAGGCTGTCCCCTAACTACCAAACAAGTTGTGTTCCTGATTTACAGACTTAGAAATGAGTGACTTGTAGAGAACAATTCTAAGAATAAAGGATGGTTATGTTCACACATTAACACTGAGTTCTTGATAGAACACGAGGCACAAGACACCTAGGAAGAGTTATTATACAGGTCGGCCATCACTAATCTGGCAGTCAGTTATCCAGTTCCATCAGTAATCCGGAAATCAGCTATCCGGTTCCATCAGTAATCTGGCACTAATTTTGGCTAGCATAATTTCAAATTTCATTAATATACCGACTCAGAAATTGTGCAGATGGTTGTAAATCCACAGCAGCAAGCCAGTGAAGGAGAAAGCAGTGATGAAAATGAGGAAGATGTAGCAGAAAGAGTCTATTGATAGGTTAATTAACCACTGTAATCCGGCAAACTCACTAATCCGGCACACTACAGGTCCCAATGATGCCGGATTAGTGATGGCCGATCTGTATTCATGAGTAATCACTTAACCCGCCAGGGTTATACAGCACCAAGGGAATGGGAGGCTACCAGGCTCCATCTTATGAAAGGGAGGGAAGCTCTAATTTGTTGGATCAAGAACCCTTCATCAGTATCAAGGCACCCATTTCCTACCATTAAAGTGTGGGGAAGGAGAAAATACAGAAAAAAAAAAATAAAATAAAAATAAAAAAATATATATTTAATTACCCCATCCCCCCCCCAGCCATTTTAAGTTCTTGTATACAGTAAGGCCCCGCTTTACGGCATTCCGCTAATACAGATGCTACAAATCATGATCAAAACGCTATATATGGCTCCCCCACCTGACTTTCTAATACAGTCACCATGGGTTACCTGGTTTGTTTACATTCTCCATGAGCACAATGCTCCATTATGTCTGGAAACCTTCCAAAATTTCAAGTACATATTTTAAAGACATTTCATATTTTATATATACGTACAGTGGTACCCCGAGTTTTGTACAGCTCCAAACTCGAACAATTATGCAAGTGTATAATTGTGAGTGCTTTTGTAAGTATTTTTGGGGGTCTGAAATGGACTTGTCTAATTTACATTATTCCTTATGGGAACAAATTCGTTCAGTAACGGCACTCGAACAGCCTTCTGGAACGAATTATGGCCGAAACTCGGGGTACCACTGTACTCTGACATTATACTTGTGTGTACTTGTACCTAAATAAACTTACACACTGTGCCTGCATGCAGGTATATACCTTTGTCTTATTAGTCTTGAAGACGCTATACTAGCAATGATAATAACACAATAATAATCACTGAGGAGCATTAAATGTCATATATGTTGATTAATCCATCTATGATATTTTTTCAAAAATATATAATAAACATGCTACGTAACAAACACGATAAATACACCCCACAGTAGAATAAATTAACAAATATGAAATGTTTTTCCAGTCATCTTGTCGGAGTGTCAGATAGAATAACGTTTTCTCTAGTTCAGCACCAGAGAAAATGTGTACACAATAGTATTACTGGGGG